GTCATTCTGATGGAGAAACCATCGCTACTGCGGATTACAGACCATCACAGAAGGACTGAATTCAACCCGCTCAACCCTTGCCCAGTTGAATTCAACACTTGAAGAGTGTTCTGGCTGCTGTTCTACAGGAAGCTTAGGGTCCAACCCTGCGAACTTTCCTTGGTTTTGGGAAGAAGGTGTGATTTTCCCCTCCTCAAGAGGGGAATTTACAAAGTGCCAAGGAGCCCCCCAAGGATGCCCCAAGCAGATGTAGAAGGTTTCAGGGAGCACAGTTAGCTCACTAAGTGAAATTCCATCAGCCAGGCTCCAGGGCTTAGTGACTCACGCCTCTGGCATCCCAGAGTAGGATGAACTTGGTCTAGACTGATGCCATTTTCTTCCCCTCTCTGCTTGGAGAATTCCAGTGTGCTCTGGAGGAGGCACAAGCCTGGGAGGGCTATCTGCAACGGTCTGTGATCTGTCCCTAATCTCCAGGAGTCAACAAGGGTGAATGTTATACAGCCTGGCCACAGCTCCGCACAGCAGGCATGGGAAGGGGCGGCAATGTACTCACCCCATTTATCAGCCTGGTGGTTTACAGCTGGGGTCACAGGACATGGAGAAAGCAATCACTGACACTTCATTCCTGGCTCCTTTTGAACTCGCAGACCCCAGACTGGGGGAAATCGAGGGAGAGCTTTAACTCTCACACTTTGGTGTGGAAGAGTGAAGGGCGCAAAGCCTGCACCTGGTTTCAAGGCCAAGGTCATGAGGGGCCAGAGAAGCGGCAGGGAGAAAGCCCGAGCACACAACATACACACCAGCAGGCATCCCCCTTCTCTGTGTGTGTGTGTGTGTGTGTGTGTGTGTGTGTGTGTGTGTGTGTGATGCCAATTTACTCAGTGGTGCACACTGCTAATATCCAAATAGGGCTCACCCTCTACAGGGATGATGCATTTTCATAGGCACAAGGGATCTTAGAATTTGGCAATCACTTTAATCCCACTTCCTTTCCCTCATAGGCACCAGACCACAATATTCCTGGCAGGAGGTGTTCAGTTCCTTCTTGAACTCCTCCAATGACGAGGAGCTCACCACCCCCTGTGGGATTCCACCGAGCTGTGATCTACCTCCTATTACCTTCCCCTCCGTCTTAGCTCTGGGAATTGGAATAAATTATAAACATTCTTCTGCATAATAGTACTTCAAATAGTTGAAGAGAACCACGTCTCCCCCCATATCTCTTTTCTTGACGAAAAGTCTTCAGTTCCTCATATGATGTGGTTTCCAGACATGCCTCCATCCTGCTGGCCCCTCCTCTGGGTGACGTGGTTAAGAGCTGGGCCCAGAAGTGAATCCTGCACTCAGTCAGGTATTAGTCCAAAAAGCAGAGTTTAGGGAAAGAATTCTATCAGGAAAGCAGTTTGTATTCACTTTCTTAGCAACCATACCAAGTTTTGGCTTATACTGAGTTTTTAGTCAATCATTGCCCTCTCAGAGATTTATTTTTTCTTTATTTCAATAATCAATGATTTTTTTAGTCACTTTCCATAAAGCCTGGACTCTGTGGCTAATTTTTTTTCCATTAACATTGATCTAGGACCTTATATTCATCCCTAATATGTTAATATGAAATAATAGGCTTAGGCCTATTACTTCAGCCTACTGCAGTTTTTCTGATTCTTCATTCTATAATTTTTTATTCCAGCAACTCGTCCTGGTTTTGTATCTCCTATACATTTTATGAGCATGCATTTCAATCTCCATGAAAATTCCTGACACATGGGGAGGCAGGAGCAGGGCCCCAGGCCCACCATTAGGGGCCATCCACCATGTCCACACTCATTAGTCACCAGTTCGCCCTGTGGTGCCACCACTCAGCATGCTATGACTCCGCCTAACTGCATGTCCACCAAAGCTGCGTCTCTTCCTCTTGTCCACAAAAATTTAACAGGCAGCATTTCTTGAGCTGAAAGGAATGATTCCGTGACTTCAGCTACTGACACAGGCTATTCCATGAGGTATTTTGGAGAAATGTCTCCATATCCCACAAACAGCCCCTGTAGGTGGTCTGGGCGGCTCCCTGCCCATCAGCCCAGCACTGCCAGGAAGCATGAGCCTTAGCCGCAGAGCCGTGAATGCAAGAACCTTCTGGCGACTCACAAAGGTTCTCCTCAGACATCCTGTGGTCTAGGCCCTTTCATGACCTACTTTCAGCAGCTACCAAAGGGAAGCTGCAGGGCACCAATCATCAATGAAAGTTCCCTCGGTGTCTGTGGTTGGGCCAGAAAGCTCCACCCTGGCTTGTGGGAACCAGTGTGATCTGCGTGACAGTGAGAGGGAGGCCTTCTAGGAAATTGCAGAGCATGGAAGGCCCTTTAAACCAGATGTCTCTCACGCTGCCCTGTTTAGGTTTCTGTAAATTCACCAGGGTCCATGCTCCTTGCCTCAGCATGATCTCCCCGCCCACCCCACTTTCCCCAAGGCAAGCATCTTGTCTTTGAGCGTTCTAAGGCCTGGAGAACAAGGGCCATGTTTTCTTTCTCTCCTGATGTCCCAGACCACAGTGCGTGTGCAGCAGGCACTCAACAAACGTCCAGAATAAAGGTAGATACTAAGCTTTCCTATCACAGAATCCCAGCCTTTCCAGGTAAGAAAGTTCTCTCCAACATAGTTTTTTCGACCTTTTCTATGCTTATTCCACCCGCTTAAGGTCCTGCTTTTGATATGACCCGTCTTATATCCCCTTCAAATGTGAAGCGTTGGAACTGGCGCATAGTAGGTACTCAATAAACATTTATCTAGGGAAGTGCCACTCCCAGAGTCCTTTTTCCAAAATCATTTTTTTCTAGTGGCAAATGAGTCTTCTCGTTTTCTCAGCCTAAAACTCACTGGCATTTTGGCCCTCCTTCCTTTTACTCAAGCCATCAATGACTCTCTTGTGCCAAGAAGCGGGGTCTTCACTTGATACTCCAAGTGGACTACCCTCAAATTCTAGGTTGAACAGAGGCCTACGAAAGATGTTGTGAATTTAAGCTCATTGTCCTATTACGAGGCGGGGCAATGCTATGAAGCAATGATTTGCTCCTATGTGCTTCTCATTGCTGTTTAGTTTAATATTTTATCCCGGGAGATTCTCCACCTAAGGAGATAATGACCTCTGGTTTACATTTTTGGGGAGAAGAAAATCTTAGAGCTGGAGATATTATTCCTACTAGGTACCTACAGTTTATCTATTGGATACAATGATGTATAAGTTATAGCCCCTGTCCGCTCTCCAGGAGCTTCCAATCTCATGGGAGAGATGAGAGACATATAACAGGGTGCTAATTATTCTATTATATGAGGTTAAAAAGAGTGGAGATAGAAAGTTTTATAAAACTGGGTCCACCCTCTAAATCATAAACTTTGTGGTCAAGCAAAGTTGTCATCGGCGATTGCAACACTAAATGAAGTCCATTGACTCTATAACAATCTCTCTAGTGATCACCAATAAAATAGCAGATTCGAAGATTTCAAGTAGAAGTGGTCTCATCCTTCCAGCTGAGCTAAGGCTGGAAAGCCGTTTCCGTGCTATAATGCAGGCGTGGACGAATTCCCAGTGTGCTTGCTGTGCTCTGGGAGCACATGAGAAAAGAGCGGGACAGTGTGAGTCACGAGAGTAAAGACCACAGTCTGGGCAGAACTTCCTCTGCAGCCCAAGTAGGGCAATTTCAAGTCACCTTTCCTCCCTCAGAGCTGGGGGCAGCTGGAGGGCAAAGCACAGTGATAGCTCCCGGGCCTGGCTTCTTGGCAGATCCCACAGTCACTTGGGGTGACACCCAGCATGTTCCTTGAGGACAAGAGTCTTGCCTGCCGAATCCTCCTGTCCTAAGCCCCACATGTTTTGCACTTAAGAGTAGTACAAGAAGTGCTTATTAATGTAGTTGTTTGGGCGAAGAAAAGCTAAACCTCAGATTTAGCCATAAACGTAGAAAAAGGGTTACTGGATTGGGATCATCTGGGAAAGTTTAAGAAAAATAATCTGGTCTCATAATGGAAGATTCTGAGTCAGCAGGTCAAGGGTGAGGCCCCAGAACCTGCATTTTTAAAGTGATTCTGATCCCTGGCTAGATTTGGAAACTGTCCAGTTGTAGCCAGCTTCCAAGCTGACCCCCAACGACCCCACGTTCTGTATTCACACCCTTGAGTAATCTCCTCCCATATCATAGCAGGGCTGGTCTGTGTGATCAGTAGAACACAGCAGAAATGAGGGTGTATCACTTCCAAGCTTAGGTTACGAAACACTGTGGCTTCCATCTCATGTTCTTTCTCTCATTCTCCTTTGGAGCATTCACTCTAGGGGAAGACAACTGCTGTGTCTTGAGGCCACTCAGGCAGCCTAGAGAGAAGCCGTGCAGAGAGGGACAGGGGGCTCCAGTCTACAGCCAGCAAAACTAAAGCCCGATGAGTCGGCATGGGAGAGACTCCTCCAGCTCTCGGGACAGCCTGACCGCCACTGCATGAGAGACTCTGAGCAGAATCAAGTAGCTCAGCTGCTGCTTGGTTCCCAACCTTCAGAAACTATGTGACATTATAAATGTTCATTGTTTTGAGCTACGAAATCCGGGGGGAATTTGTTATGCAGCAATTGATAACTGCTACATTTTCCCAACCCAAAGGGCAAGCTCCTGAACATGGCACAGAAGGCATTTCATGTCCATCTTTCTAGCTTCAGTTCACCCTGCTCCGAGATGTACATGGTACTCCTGTGTGCTACTCTTTGCTTAACCCCAGTCTGCACCCTCGCATCTGTGTGCCTTTGCCCAAGCTGTTCTCCATGCCTGGAATACCCTCTCCCCACTGATGGGACCGCGTTCTCCAGAAACCCTTCCCTAAACTGCCTTTCCACCAAATCCTGTTGAATTGGGTCCCCCTCCTTAGAGTTCGCACATACTTCTTGCAATCAGTAGGCAAGAATTGGGTTCCATGGAAGAAGAAAAATGCCCATATGAAGAAGTCATCAAGAGAATATGACTTGCCTCTATCTGGTTGACCAACGAATTGTCAAATTTGAACCCAGGAATCCTTTTCTCACTGCACACCACACCAACATCTTCTGTGTGCTTGCAGTCAGTGACGCCCCAGCCGTTGGAGGAGCAGGCTGCGAGGGTCGCCTCTTTGCCAGTGCAGTAGATATTGTCCAGCCAGATGGGCCCTGAAGGAAGCAGAGAAGAGAGAAATCAAGCACCATGTCAGTGCAGGTTTGAGTCTTTGGGGCTGCCAGTTTCTTACGTGGAAGGAGAATTCTTCTCTAACTTAGGCAGCTGCGTGTGGCCATCGATTGATTTTTATTATGTTAGGATATCACATATAGTTCTAGACCATCTGGATTCCCTTGCCAGAGTGGGCAGCTGATGTGATTTGAGGATGTGGTAGATTGAACATGATTAGGACAGGAATCAGACTTAAGCCTGCAAGTCACATGGCACAGTGGAAAGAGTTTTGGCTTAGGGTATAAGCTTGGTTTGAATTCCTGTTCTACCACTTAGCTGTATGACCTCGGTCAAAGCCCTTTTTCTCATCAGTAAAGTGGGGATAACAATGGCACTTGAATTGCAGAGGTGTGTGCAGATTAGAGACAATACATGGCACATGCCTAGCTTATTGCTGGCCGTAGTTACTCAAACACGGTAACGATGATGATGATGATTTAATGACTCTGACTGTGGTACAAGCCAGCCTCACTTCCCACCTGCAGCAGAGGCTGAACTCTGACCCCTCAGGGAAAAGCTAAGCTATCCTGCAATTGAGGGCTTGAAGTTATGAAGGCATTTTCATGTGCTACCTCCTTGCTCTTCCCATCTGACAGGGAAGAGGATGAGATGGCGTGATTATTCCCATCATCCCCTGAGCCCAGAAGCTGGACCTCGGCTGCCCGTCCAGTGCTCTTCTCACTGCCTGACGTTTCCCAGCGCTGATTCAGAGACAGCCTAGCTGGACTGACCCACACGGCCACTGCTTCGTGTTCCCGAAGGCCGCCATGCAACTCTACTCATTTCCTGTTCTTTTACCTCACTTGCACGAAGTAGGGAATTCAGTGTGCAAAGGCTAGAGGATTAACCACAATGAGATACCACCTCATACCCTTAGGATGGCTACTATTAAAAAACAGAAAATAACAGTGCTGGCAAAGATGTGGAGACACTAGAACTCTTGTGTGCTGCTAGTGGAAATGTAAAATGGTGCAGCTGCTATGGAAAACAGTATGGTGCTTCTTCAAAAAAATTAAAACTCAAATCACTGTATGACGTGGAAATTCCACTTCTGGATATATATACACAAAAGAATTGAGAGCAGGGTCTCTGAGAGACATTTGCACACCCTTGTTCATAGCAGCATTATTCACAATAGCCAAGAAGCAACTCAAGTATCCATGGACAAATTGTGTTCTATCCATGCAATGGAATATTATTCAGCCTTAAAAAGGAAGAAAACTAACACATACTACAGCATGGATGGATTGTAAAGACATTATGCTAAGTGAAATAAGCCAGTCACAAAAGACAAATACTGTATTAATCAAATCACGGAAGCAAAAGTTAGAAGAGTGCAGCCAGGGCCTGGGGTGAGAGGGAAACGGGGAGTGGTTGCTTAATGGGGACAGAGTTTTTCAGTTGTGCAAGATGAAAAAGTTCTGGAGATGGATGGTGGTGACGGCTGTACAGCAATGTTAAGTGTACTTAACCCTATTCAACTGTACACTTGAAATGCTTAAGGTGGTAAATTTTATGTTATGTGTATTTTACAATTAAAAATAAAAAATTTATAAAGTGCTAGAGGGTTTTCAAATTGTGATTTTGTAAGTGCCACTCCAAAATGAAAGAAAACAAAACCAAACCTCTCATTCTTCTCACAGCTCCTGGTAGGAGTCTTCAGACTAGCAGAATCCAACAAACCTGGGCTCAAATTCCATCTGCTTAACCAAGGCTGCTTCCCATTTCTAACCATGGAGTCCAACAAACAGGTTGCCATGGAGACTCAGCGAAGTAATGTGTGTGCCCAGCACACTCTCAACCTCCCTGTCCCCTTCCTTTTTCCAGATGGTCAGAAAAGCAATGAATTCTGCTTCTAGGACGCAAGGAAAAAGCAGATAAAAACACTCCCATTGTAGAGATTAGAAAACCAAGGAGAGAAGCCGAGGCTCTTCGAGGTCAGGGAGGACATGCATCCGGTATCCCGACTTCCAGGCCCTGCTGAAACGTGTCTGCTCCGATGGCTGCCAGTCAGGGCTCAAACGAGAGCACCTCGGAGGCTTTGTGAGGAACAAAGAGCTGATTGAAAACATCTGGGCTGAGGTTTTCCAACTGGTTTCTCAGTTTGGCCGGGTTTCCAAGCCGTCAGGCTCCACTGAAACATATGCTCCCTAATCGATTGCTGTCTCAACAACAAACCGATGTTTGTTTTGCTAAGTGCTAGCAACGGAAAAGACCCTCCGCGTTTTTAAGCAGGGCCTCTTCCTTGGAACATTCTGCAGTTAAGTTGCTGAAGCCACAGAGACGGTGAGAGACAGCAGTACCCTGTTCCCTCTGCAGTGAGAGATCCCCCTCGCTAAGGGCCGGAAGCGGCCCGCGCAGGTAGAGATACCAGGGGCCTGCCCCAAAGAGCTGCTCTCTTATGAACCTTCAACGGACCCCCAATAATCTACCCTCTGCACATGTTTGGTCAATGATTTTTTTCTTAGATGGCAGATTAGAAAATCTGCACTTAGCCCAAGAGAGCATCACCATGCACGGTCTACTCATTGGGTCTGGTTTCATGATAATGTTTTTTTTTTTTTTCCTGTTTATGCTTAGTGCCCATTTACTAGACTGCCCTGAATCCAGTGCAGCCAGCTTCTGGGTCTGCCTGCTGAAATGCAGGGTGCTTCTAGACACAGTCCAATAGATGCCACCTCAGAGTTACCAAGAAAGCAGTCCTTGAGACACAGATGAGATTCGAACTTTGGATACAAAGAAGCCATTCAATCGGAGGCGAAATTTCATTTTACACTTTGCGCCCATTTACTCTACGCAATGCCTCTCCTGATGAAGGAAGAGCTATATGAGCAGATTCACAGGTCATTTGGAAGATGAAAGTCATAAATGAGATTCCATTTGAACGCCAGAGCCCCTGGGCTCTGTTAGGGCAATGGAAATTGCTCGAGTTAGAATCTTCAAGGTCCCAATGTGGTTATCGCTGGCTCTGTCACTCTGATCTGAAGTGTGGGGCAGGTGGTTGGGAACAGGCTCAGCCTCCTGGTTCTGAAGGCAGGTGTAAGAGAGCAGCCACCTCAGGTTCAGGTTGCTGTGGGCCCCACCCAGAGGGTGAGAAATGGGACAGTTGCTCCCTCCAGAACTCTCTAAAAGGGCCCATGGTTTACCTGACTCCAAGATGCTTTGGGAGAGAGACCTGCTGACAGGCCAGACTGGAAAACCCAGAGTCCCTGGTGGTTTCCCCAGCTCCACTATTGCAGCCTGAACTTCAGAGCGTGAGGCTTCCTAGAGGGGCAGCTGCGGCATTCCCAGCTCTTCCAAAGAGCCCGACTTGAAGGTTAGACCCCACCAGAGCGAACCCTGGGGCACTGGCCGTGTTCTGGGCTCACTCTACCAAGCACTTTTTGCCAACTCTTTTTTATATTCTCCCTAATCAAAATGAATCAATCAGCTAATATCCACCAAGTGCCCACCATGTACCCAGAGCTAAAAAAAATAAAACGAAACAAAAATCCTCCACTGATGCTGATGAAATTCAAATACGTTTAGATTTGAAAGGTTTCTCAGGATATAAATCAAGCACCACTTTATGTAAACAGCTTAACTCATGAAGCCCTGATCATAAGACAGGGTTCTTGTTTTTTTAAAGCATCTGTTTCTCCATGTCCTCTCTTTGACACTCTTCCTGTCATAATCCTTGATGGTTTCAATGTCCACAAAGATGACCTTTCCAGAACTCTCGGCCTCTTAGTTATTACAGCTCCAGTCTCTAGTGACTTTCTTCCACCCTACTGTAGCTGCTGCCCCCATGGTCATTGCTCTGCCCCTTGTCACCACCAGTCATTGTACCCCTTAATTTGTTTCACCCTCCTGCCCTGAATTCATGGCCCCCCAATCTTTCTAGCATACTTCTTCTTGGATCCCAAACTCAACAAAGACCCACAGCCCATCGGTCCCAGCAGCTTTGCACAATCCTCCAACTCCTCCACGGATTCCTTCCCTCCTTGCCCAGCACGGACTCCGTGCACCATGATTTGAATTGTTCCCTTCCGTGTTCCCTCTACTCCCTCCAACTTTTCACCCTTCATCATCCTTGGATGGCAAAGTCACACCCAGGTAAAGCCCCTTCTGCTCTCGATGGGAAAAAACCACAACCCTCTTGTCTGATGACAGGTACATTTTAAATTTGGGTAGAAATAAAATAAAGTTGTCCCTGGAAAACACCCACCATCCTTGGAAAGTACCTGTTATAAAGTAATGAGGATGGGAGAGCCTGGAACAGAAAACATGAATCTGCCGTTGGCTCTGGACGGCTCAGCCAGCCAGAGGAGTGCAGAGGGGTATCAGGAGTTTGTTTACGGAAGACAGGAAATGAGCTCTGAAGTCCCACATGTGCTAACTCATCTTCGCCACTCTCTCATGGCTGCCGAGGAACCCAGAGTGAGCTTCAGAGAACACTGGACCCTAAGTGCAGTCTCCTGATCCAGTTACTCCAAAAGGAAATTTTCAGTTGTGGAGGGGAGACGTGCATGAGACGCCACTTCCTCCCTCCCATAATTTCTAGAGTAACAGAAAGGAGGCTTGGCAGGGAGCATGACGGTTGTCTGTTTCAGCGACCCCCAAACCTGGCACCATATGCAATCCCTTCCCAGGCTTCTGAAAGCTACAGAGCCTGGGGTTCCAGCCCTGACCTTTTAAACCAGGTTTTCATGGGTTGAGATCTGAGACAGTCTGTGTTTTAGGCCCTCCCAGGCGATTCTTAGGCAGTCACTATGGCATTAATCCTTTTGTCCAGGAAGGGGGTGTGGGCAGCTCTGCTTTAGGCCGGCAGCCAGGCCCAAGCTGGGGCCTGTGCCGGGGCTTCACTAACCTGGGGATGGGGAACTCTTAGCTCCTGGAAAAAAAATTTTTTTAAAAAAAATAATGCCCTTGACTCTTATCTGCTTTCCCATTTGGTCAGACAATCAGAGTTTCAAGCGTTCTTAGAGACCCCAACTTCCAGATGGGGAAACTGAGGCCAAAGAGGCTGTGCGTCTTTCTGCAAAGCACACAGTCAGTTAGGTCAGTACCAGGACTGAGCTCAACCTTTGGGGCTCCAAGACCCACCTCCCTCAAGGCGCCTACAACAGTTTAGAACTGAATAAATAAATTGATTTGAACCTAACAAGGGAGGGAACAATAGGCCGACCAGAGGTGAAAAACCCAAAGCAACTCTGTTCCTTGTCATGACTGAGCCCATGACAGCATGTAGGATTAAAACGATGAACTGGACGGGGGCAGGAAGGTGGGGTGAGGCAGGGAACTCCAATGCTAGCGTGTGGGGGCCCTTGTGAGGAAGACCCAAAGGCTCTCCTTTGTCGGAGGATCTGGAGTGAGGCACAACTTCTGCAGGGCAGGGCCTGTTCCTTGGAGAGAGAAGCACAGGCTGGTTTCACCCCCGACCTCGGGTCACCCATCATCCTAGTTTGCCTGGACTGAGAGGTTTCTTTAAGATGTGAGACTTTCCATGCTAAAACCAGGACAGTCCCAGGCCAATCAGGATGGTCACTTCACCTGTCCCTACACCCCTCCCCTCCCGCCTTCCCGCAGGCCACAGGCTGTGCGGGCACAGGAGGATGGCATCCCCAGGTGGCATTTACACTTCCTGGTGATTACGGCCCCTTCACCAGGCTGACCTCACGGGAGCCTGCTCCTGGGCTGTGCCGGGTGACACAGCACTTGGTTCCAAAGCACAGAGTGGCTCACCTTCCCCCTTGCCGTAGGAGGAGCTGGCAGTCCAGGACTTGGCCTCCACGTAGCCCAGCTCCCGGCACACGACGTGGGCGGCGTGGATGGAGAAGTCGTCGTCGCACACGGTGCCCCACTGGCCGTCGTAGTACACCTCCACGCGGCCCTCGTTGTGCTTCCTCTTCTGTCCGGCCAGGCGCAGCTGGATCTTCACCACGTCGGCGGGCACCTGAGGCTGGTGGTACTCGGGGGCCGGCTGCTGGAAGTACTCGGGGTAGTAGGGCCAGCTGTCATACTGTGCCAGGCTCGGGCAGGGCAGGAGGGCCAGCACAGCCACGCACAGGCACAGGCAGGAGACCAGAAGCTTCTCCATCCTGTCTCAGCCGAGGATGCCACCGGGGCAGTGAGGAAGGGCAGGCGGGGCGGGGTGGCAGGAGCTTCCTGGAAGAGAGGGGAGATGCGGTAGGATCAGACATAGGGCTATAGGGACCTGTGAAACACCTGGTTATCTCCCAGTCCTTGGCTTAATACCAAAAGCTCTTCTGCTCTAGACGCCACCCCGGCTCCGCTCCCACCTCGTGTTTCCACTGTGCAGCTCCAGGAGCTCCCACCTCCTTTGCCCACCCGCCTTCCCGTATCTCTGGAATGCTGTGTTCAGCGGGGTTCCCGGCAGGGAGCCGGGCACACTCACACTTAACTAGAGGAGAGGTTTTAGAAAGACCACGGAGATGTAAGCAGAGTTCAGGGGATCTAACAAAGGCCAGTGTCCCAGGGCTGGCGACACAGGGGAGTTATGTTGGGAGGCTTGAAGGGTCCCCCGGGGGAGGGAGTGGGTACCAGAATCAGCTTTGGGGGCCACCTCTTAGGGGCTGTGGCCTTCACTGGAGGGTCTCAGCACCAACCCACAGCAACCGTGGGGAAGGGGAGGCAGAGTAAGTACTTGACTCACTCTCCTCCTGGCCTTGAATTTCTTCCTGGTGCCTCCTACTGGACAAACACAACCACACCCAGCCTGAAGCCCCAGATGAGAGGACCCACAATGAGGGACCCATGTGGGTCAGCCTCCTGGGGCACAGGGGCTGGTGGGGGAGGGCAGCAGGTCTGAAGGGGGTGGGCACAGGATATTGGGTTTAGGTCAGTGGCAGAGACCCTTTACACAGCTCTTGGACAGGGCTCGTCTTTAGTGGAACTGTGTTTCTGCAGGCGGCAGCCTCAGAGAGCCAACTGTGTCTCACCCTCAGAGAAGCCAAGGACGCCCTGGTGACAATTCTCTTCCTTCTCATGGAGTCTGTCCCTGAGGGGTGCCAGGGGCTGAGACCAGCCTGCTGTTAGCTCAAAGGGGAGGTACTAAGCTCTTTAAGGCCAACACGAGAGGGGCCAAGCAGCCAGTCATCAGGCCAGGGAGGGTGAGCCAGCACAGTGGGGACTGTCTGAGTTTGGATCCTCATTCTGTGCACTAGCTGTGCACCTGTGGGCAACATAATTAACTTCTCTGTGCTACCATCGAGGAAGACTGGATAACTTTCCCATAGTCAGAGCTGTCCTGTGCTGCCCATGGAAGGATGATCTGCCTCGGACAGAGGAAGTCCCATGTCTGCCGGGTGGTCAGCAGTGCCCACTGCCCCAAGGTGGATGCTGGGGTGGAGATGCCAGTGCCCAGAGGACAGTGGGAACCAAGGACTTTGGAAGGCCCATCACCGGAGAGCCAACCATCCTCATCCTATGACTCACAAGCAAGGCCAGAAAGTGGTGGGGGAGTCCAGCCATAGCCCCCTCCAGACCACAGCCTGTCCAACTAGTAACCTGGCTCTGCAGGGAAACAGTGTCCCAGCCACATTCACTCCCATCAAAGCGCATGCACATCCACAAACTCAGCTATGTCTCCAGAGAGCCTTGGCGGGCAGTGGAGGCAGGTGTGATTAGGATTCTTAATTTACAAGGGAGACAATCACGACCCAGAGAGGATTAGGGACTTTGCCAGAGTTGCACAGTTAGTGCAGGCAGAGCCAGAATGGGTCACTCCCAACTACCATCGCATGTAAAAACGGTGCAGGTTCAGTCTGGGATACAAAAGCCTTTGCAATGTGTCACACACCTACATCGTCGGCTTCAGTCCCAATGACAGTGTCTCCCTTCCCTCACCCCAGCCTTCCCATGGCACATGTCCAATCCTATCGGCCTTTGCTGGGCTTCAGTTTCGCCACCTACAGCAATGTTCCTCCCTCCAAATGGCAATTGTCACAGTCCTTCCCAGGTTCTCCTAATCAGATGGAGTATCTTTCCAATTCCCTTTCAAATCACATTTTGCTTGTGCTTCACACTGTTGTCATGTCTGGCTCTGCCACCAGGCCCCCAGCCCCAAGGGACAGAAATCATCTCTTTTGTCATTTCTGCACAGCAACAGATTTGTTTCTGGGTATGGCCGACTAGCATGTGTTAGGTAAGCCTTCCTGCCAAGAACAACTAGGAAAGGTAGATAAAATACTAGAAACAAGTTTGAACACGTGGGAAACCTCTGAGACAGCAGGGACTCAAGGAGCCAAGAATACAGAGAGTTGCACGGGGCATGGGAGGAGGGGGAGGGCTCACGCTTGTCTCTGCTGCTCCCTGGAAGGCACGTGCTTCTGCCACGGCAGTCAGTGGTCCGCTTGGCAGGCTGAGCGCTAAGCAAAGCCTTAGGCAGCCTCCAGGGACTGAGGAGTTCAAAGCCTGCTAAGGACGAAGGGACCTGTTAAACAGCCCCAGGCTTTCCTGTGGGTCCCTGAAGGGCTACGGTCCAGAAGTCAGGGCAGGGAGTTGTTAGAAAGGTCTGACATCCACATAACTGGAATCCCAAGAGAGGATGTGCAGAAGGAATATTTGAAGAAATAATGGCCAAGAATTTTCCAGAATTGAAAAAGATAGCAAGCCCAAGCAGTGTAGTTTACAAAGAAAACCACATCTGGGCACATCGAAATCCAACTGTGGAGAATCCAAGAAAAAGAGAAAATCTTAAATCCAGCCAAAACGTAAAAAGTGCATTGCCTTCGAAAGCAACAGAAAGACGAACAGCTGGCTTTGCAACAACCATAAGGAGAGGGAGGATAACGGCGTAACATTTTCAGAGGGCTGAAAAAAACAGCAGTCAGCCTAGAATCTGTACCCGCTGAACAGAGTGAAGGTGAAATGAGGACAATTCAGACAAACAAAGACGGAGAGAGTTTGTCCCCTGAAGATCCACAAGATGGAAATACTAAAGGGTGTTCTTCAGGCTAAAGGAAAAATAATCCCAGATGTTAGCATGGAGGTTTAGGAAGGAATGAGGACATAGAACAGGAAGCTGTAGGTAAATCTAAATGAAGATCAACTGTGTAAAACAGTAACAGTGTCTTGTGGGCTTCCAAATACATGTATTATTAAAATGCAAGGCACAGTGGTACAAAGGGCAAGAGGGGATTAAATGGAGTTAAAGTGTTTTACGGTTCTTATGTCGTCGGGGAAGTGGTAAGAGTATCATACACTATCTTCTGTTAGACTTTAGCAAGTCTCATAGATGCATGTTGTCACCTAATTTACAGTAATCACTATACAAACAATAAACAAACAACGAAAAATAGTACAACCAACAGGTTAATAAAGGGGGGAGAGGATGGAATTATAAAAAGTAGGTGATTAATCCAAAATTGAAGCAATAAAGCAACATAGAACAATTTGTCACAAATAGAAAAAACACAAAGAGGGTGGATTTAAAACTCTATCAGTAATTACATTAAAAGAAATAAATACTCTCATAAAAAGGCAAACATCATCAGAATGGATTTAACAAAACCATCCAGCTTTGCTTCTTACAAGAGACACAAAGGTTTAGTGTAAAAGGATGGGAAAAGATACACCATGCACACCTCAATTACAAGAAAACTGGTACAAAGTCAGATAATGTCGACTTTAGGACAAGAGACGTTACTAGAGACAGAAAGGGACTGTTTATGATAATGAAAGTGTCAACCCACTAGGAAGACATAACTCTTCTAAATTTGTACACATAGCCTCAATGTATAAAATAAAATATTGACAACACTACAAGGAAAAAAATACACAAATCCATAACCATAGTGGAGATTTTATATGCCTCTGTCAGTAACTAACAGAAGAAAGAAACCAAAAAATCCTGGCCCCGAAGATATGAATGACATGATTAACAAACTTGCCCAATTCACAAGTTTCCATAAACTGTCCTCAACTACTGTAGAAGACAGGTTTGCTTCGAGGACACATGGACCCTAAATTGGGTTATAAATCTAGTCTCAGTACACTCAATGACATCATACAGAATGTGTTGCCTGTCCACAGTAGAATTAAGCTGTAAACCAACAATAAAAGAACGGCTAGAACATCCGCAAATATTTGGAAATGATGGATAAGGAAATAAATCTATTACGATTAACCTCCATCCAGCTCACAGTACCAAATTGATTTACTCATTCAACAAGCGTTCATCGAGATGCTACTGCTGTGAGTGGAACAGGAATGTTCTTTCCCGCGCGCTGACATGAAACTGACAGTCTAGCTGGGGTTTGCCTCCTGGACGTCATGGATGGAACTACCTGCACCTAGGCGACCTGGCTTTGGATTTGGGAAGGTTTTCCTCCTCTACACTGCCTCTTTGTCCTCATCTTACAGAAATTAAAGACAGAAAGCAAGTCAATGACTTGCCAAACGTCACACACAGTGATTCACAAACAGCTAACATTGTAAAGCGCCCCTGTGTGTGGGCACCGTTCCCAATACAGTGCTCTAGTGTTTTAATTCCCTTGATGCGGTAGGCACTGTTATTATCCTCAGGAGGAAACTGAGGCACAGAGAGGTTCGGTAAGTTGCCTAAGGTTGCATAGATGGTAAGTGCAAGCCAGGATCTGAATGGAGGGGCAGCTGATGCTCTGCTGTGTCCCCCACCACAATGCTTTACTGCTCCAGCCCAGCACTTGCCTACCTTTCCCTCTCTCCCCAAACCCCCCACCAGGGCTTCAGAGTCTTCTAGAGCCTCTAATCCTGTCCCAGAAAGAAAGAAAGAAAGAAAAAAGTACAGTCTTGAAATTTTTTTTTAAAGAAATCTTAATCTCAGGATTTGTGTATCTATAAACTATTCCACCCATCTTCCTGGCTTCTCCAAACTGTGGGAATGGCCAGTGTTCAACTCTTAAATCTTTCCTAGAGAAGAGCTCCCGAATTTTTTTGCTTCTTTTATGGGACCTTCTACTCCTTCCTCTGGGGGATTGTAACATATTAAACTCAGCTGCTTCTCTCTTTTTTAAAAAATAACCTTTAAGATTTTTATGTCCCTTATTGCGAAAGCTATGCAAGCGGATGATAAAAGTCTGGAAAATGCAAACAAATAAAAGAAAGAAAATAACTTGCAATACCACCATCCAGGGTAACCATTATCAAAATCGTGTTGTATATCCCTG